CCCAAACGCATTAACTATATCATGAATTATCTTGATTCTCATCTTTATAGATTATGTTGATCTATAGTGGGAGATGGTCAAAGTAACCTAATAATGTAGTCTATTAACTATGCATAAAAAACTGCTGTTTACTTAATTAACAGATATGGGTGTCATGCCATAACATATTTTTAATAGGACTGACTTTTTATTTAATGTGAATTCAACATTGAAAGTTAATGTGAATAAAAACATTGCAAGTTAGGCTACTAATCATAACCCTTTCATTGTACAGAAAGAGAGCAAAGAACATTTTCACTGACAGTCTAGAGTTCAAGCACTCTTAAAAAACTTCCATTAAAATCACTGAAGCTGTTTACACTATGAAATTAATATCTTACAGATTCGTACACACATTTGCACTTTGTTGTTTCTGACGAGAAAATTCGCCAGAAAGAGGTATTCAGTCAGCGAGCGAGCGAGTGAAGAAAACACCGGCAATTTAGCGATGACTCATCTGAGCACCTCTGATTGGTCATTGCATTCATAAGCTCAACAGCATGATTGGTTATAATGCGCAGTGCTGTAAAACGCGTCTGTCTCTGGCTCAGCGCCAGCTAGCGAAAGCAGAATTTAGCAGCTGATGATATGACGCGCTGAACGTTCTGATCACGCAGGTGTGATTGTATGAAATATAGAAAATATTAATCGGCTATTTTTTGTCTTTTGGAAACTGCATTCAAAATTCACTTAGCTCAAAAATCTGAGGGGGCACGTGCTCCCTCACTTTGAATGGGCATGACGCCTCTGACTTGAGTACAAATACCCCCAAAATACACTGTACTAATAAAGTGCCAATACATCTCTGGATTAGAGAACACAAAGAACATGCTGCTGTAGAGATGAGAAACAGGAACAGAGAGGGGCATAATCTGAAGAAGTGTGTTCAACATGATGTTCCCATTGATTCCGTGTGGCATGATGACATATTCATACAATAAAACTGTCAAAAGTTTTGGTATGAGCCTGGCACATCTTGTGCTAGAGGATGTCTGCTCACTTTTGTCTCGTCCTGTGTCAGGGCGACCCAGATTAAAACATACTCTTGGGACAATGCCCAGGTGATCCTCGCTGGAAACAAATGCGACATGGAGGAGGAGAGGATAGTGTCTGTGGAAAGCGGGAGACTGCTAGCAGAACAGCTGGGTGAGATATATATAGATATATACTGTATTAGGGATGCACAATATTGGATGTTTACCGATATACGATATGGCAATATTTTTTTAACTCATTTTGGCCAATATATATATGCACCAAGTCTCTCCTGTGCAGAGATTATAAACATATTATTTTTAATTTTGGTTAATTTTGAGCAAATACTTACTTGAGCATATGTATCTCAGAGAGATACAAGATATATAATGATAGTGTATTGTACACTATCAGTTGGGGTTAGAAAGATTTTTTTTGAAAGAAACTAATATTTTTATTCGGCAAAGACAGTGAATTCATCAAAAGTGAAAGAAAAGATTTATAACATTACAAAAGATTTACATTTCAAATAAATTCTGTTCTTTTGAACTTTCTATTTATCAAAGAATCCTGGAAAAAAATGTATCACGGTTTCCACAAATAGGCTGTATTAAAAAAACGCTACTGTTTTCAACATCGATAATAATCCATAATGATGTCTCTTGAGCTTCAAATCAGCATATCAGAATGATTTCTGAAGGATCATGTGACACTGTATTTCAGAATATAACTGTTTTACTGTATTTTTGATCACATAATAGAAGCCTTGATGAGCATTAAAAAACATTTAAAAAATCTTACCGACCCCAAACTTTTGAAAGCCAGTGTGTATTTCCTTTGCTTACCAAAAATCTCTCTTTCCGAAAAGGATTTGAGTTTTTTGAGACAAGCGCAAAGGACAACATCAACGTCAAGCAGACTTTTGAATGCTTGGTGGACATCATTTGCAACAAGATGTCAGACACTCTTGAGGCCGACCCTGCCATAACCACGGGAACACCCACTACCAGACTGATGGACAACCCGACGCCCCCGCAGCAGTCTGACTGTAGCTGCTAGTGTTCACCGTCCAGGCTGTTCGCTGCTGTGGCTCGAGCGTTGTTGCCAAGCTTCTGTATTCTGATACAGAGTAAGTTACTGAACCTCAAATCTTTGGCCTGGCTTCAACTCCTAGTTTTTTGGTGTTAATGACATAGCAAACTAGCAAGATTGTGCCAAACACAAGTGTCAGACCTTGTCCTTCCTTTATGCCATCATACCAGAATACAGGTCTTTTTTCAGGGGTTGTTAGTGTACCTGTATCCCCTATACCGCAATATCTCATATTAGTCATTTTAGCAAAAGCAGAAATGAGTTGAACTTTAGATGCTCTGCAATCATTCCCATGTCTCTCAGGGGAATTAAAGACTTCTGCAAATTTATAAATTCTACAGACTTGTCTAACTTATGTGTAACATATTGAGAGGATGTTGAATTTGCATTTTGCTGATGAGTCAGTTGGATCTGTTTGTGTGCGACCGTGTGTACGGAAAATGACTGCGAAAGCTAAAAAGTATGAGAAAAATAAATGTGGCCTTGAAATGGTTATCTTGTCTAGATCCAGTCTTTCACATGGTCCCGTACAGAATCTGTATCTTCGTTCTTTTATTCAAAATAAAATAAAATTTAAAAAATAAAACAAAAAGTCTGAACCAGGGTTATTATAGTAAAATAAAAACTAAAACCATAATTTTTTTTTACTTGAAATAAACATTAACTGAAATTAATATAAAAAAAAACAAACATTTTATTTCAGATAGCTGCCAAGAAAAGATTTCATTTTCATTTAGTTTATCTATAAAATAAAATGTATATATAAAATTAACGGATCAAAATGACAAAAACTATTAAAACTTTTTAAAAAATGAAAACAGAATATAAAAACGATATACATCAAAATTCATAGTATCTTAATGATAACAAAATAACACTGGTCTCAACACACACACACACACACACACACACACACACACAATCAGATCAGGCCAAATATAACTTGAACAATCCATCTAAAAAAATTAAATTTAAGAATAAAACAAAGCTAAACAAATCATAGATTTGTTAATAGAGAGACTGCAGGTTATTTTCAGAGGAAACAAAAGACAACATCATAGAGTCAACCCATGCTTTTATTTTGGTGCATATAAAAACATTTTTATTGGATTTTACCAGTTTTCGTACGTAAATTTGTATTTCTACAGTTCTATCCAATAGACTGCGATAAACAAGGAGTCCAATAAACAACTACACAGTCTTGTGAAACCTCCAGACAACTTTTGTCATTCAAGTAACATAACAAAAAAATAGTTATCCCTAAATATCATTTGTCAATTTCTGTTCGTGTATTTCTCTCATGATTTAAAAAGAGACGAGAAGGACGCACTGATTTCATCCATTTAGGGTCAATAAGAATCTACAGTATATGTGTCAAAATGAGTCCCAAATTGAGCGTTTGGGCTTTTTGTGAAGGATCTGGAAATCAAAATGCCCTGTTATCCCCAAACAGAAAGATGTTTTCTCTCATATTGCATGAAACGCAAATGTCTTTGAATGTCTCAAATGAACACAGCATAGATGGAAATATGATGGAGGTTCTTACAGCTGGTTGCAAACCCAAACCCATCACACTGGCCTGCTTTTACCCTGTCCAATGTGGTCTTACAACTTTTGTCTATTTTTTTTTTTTTTTAATGCTGGGAGCATTTATGCCACATAAACAGGAGGAACACGACAAACACATCTAGGTCAATTTCCAGCCAGTAGTTTCTTTAGTGCAGCAAGAGGATAAAATCTAAAGAGCTATCTGTAAGGCACAACCCTCAGGCCACGGAACCACTTTCTTTTAAAAAGAAAGAAAGAATGAAAGTAAACACAGTAATGACTATAATTTGGCTTTCCCTTTCTCTACGCAATCTCTCTAGAGACACATATCAATGGGATCATTACATACTAAGAATAACAAACATTCTCTCAGTAAGAGTTCCATAATACAACACCATCACCAAAAGGGATGATATAATCATTTACAACGACATGATAAGATCAACAATATGTACTATACAGCACAATAAATACATGTTATGTAAACAGAGAGAAATGAGAAACAATGTAGAGAATGGAGACAATAAAAAAACCTACTAATAAAAAAGCAAACTTGGCAACAGAATGAGTTTTACGTAGAATAAAGAAAGCAATGAAAAAGGGGTCTTTTCAAAAGGCTTCAATATTATATATAATTTTGTACATTTGATTAAGTATATCTACTGCATATGTATAATTAAAATATATTAAGGAAAACTGACTCGTAAGCCTGAATTGCTGATGCTACAAGTTGATTAAAACACTTTAATATGCTACAAGCACATCAAAGAGCATTAATAAATAATGCTAGCATGAACATAAAATGAAGAGGATGTTTGTACAGTAGGACACTTGACAGAGATGCGTAAAGCAGCAATTAAAATCATTGCGACTGGTAACGGTTTGGCGAAAATGTCCAAAATAAATACAATGAACAAAAACAAAAATACAATAAAAAAATTATAGTGCAACTAGATTCACACTTACAATGAGGCTTTGCATTGAGGCTGATTGTCCCGTGATCATGTGAAAACACAAACCGGTAAATTGAGCTTCTTCATTTATGTCAGTTGTTTTCTGTTTAACTGGCCAGGGACATATGGCACCAAACAGCTATCAAACATTTCTGAGAAACAAATGAGCAGGGCCATAATAATAATAATAATAATTATAATGATTAATAATAATTACAATAATTATTATTATGTATGAAGGGATACCCAGGATTCCTCTTCAGGAACTCGAGCTGCGTCGAAAACGCTAGGGGAACGCCGTTCCATTAACATGATAATAATAATAATAATAATTATTATTAATAGCATTATTATTACTTAATTACAATAATAATTCATATTGTTATTTATGAAGTGATAACCAGGATTCATTTTACTCCATTGCTTGTATGTTTTTGTACATTTTTGGTAGGCAACAAAACATTTAAGGCTTATTCAAGCTATTATTTTATAACAGAATTATGAGTTCTTGTTCTTGGGGGAATAAAGTTTTAAAACATTGAAACATGGCCATAATTAGGTATTATTAATAAGCCGAGGAACTTATTGTTTAAAACAAAATAAGAATTTTTTTTTTTAAATGAACCATTTTCAGATCTGGATTGGATGCAACAAATAAGGGTAAAAAAAATAATAATAAAAAGATGTGCAAACTACCATATTTACCCCAAATATGGTCATTTAAATGAAAATGTGTATTGTCTGTGAAAATGGTGTCTCGCGAGTTCTTTTGACTTTGGTACCATGTCCATACGCTTCAAATAATGCTACACAAACACAACAGAGAGCTAAATCCAGATTAATAACACATTCAAGGCATCAGGAAGACGTGAAGTTCAAAGCATGAAGTATTCACTCCTAGTGTTTGTCTGCAAAAATGCTTCGAATTGCCACTTTTCTTCAGATGAACAGGAAAAAATAGTGTCTCTGTGGTGAAAAAACAGCTGCTTTCTAAGTTCAATGTTTCTGAAATACTGTTTCAGTGGAAAAAAATAAAATAAAAGTACCTTACAATCAGGAATAAAAGTCAAGCTTTTTAACCTTTCATTTGTTACGTTTGTTTGTATGAATGACAGGTTTGAGTGGAAAAGATATTCCTGAGTGTAAAAATGGTTGTAACTAACAAAAAAGATAAAAAAATAAAAATCAGGTTAAAGGCGGACATTTAAAAAAGCACTTTTGAACGACATATGTAAAATAGACAATGAAAAAAACTAGTATCTTAACCATAAATAAGTGTTTCTCATCTCTAATATAAAAAAAGTTCAGGTGCTGTGTCATACTGTGTTATGTGTTGGCAGTGTCCTCTTCCTCTTCCTCCTCCTCCTCCTCCTCCTCTAAAACACAGGGTTCTGATATTTCCCTTTCCTCCTCCTGTTCGTCCTCTTCCTCCTCCTTGTCATGTGTGTCCCCCACCTGCTCGTCCAGGGGGATCTCTGTACATTCGGAGTCCTGTGTGCAAAGGGTTTTAGAGTCACTGCAGCTGTTTTCCTCCTCTTCCTCCTCTTCTTCATCAGGAGGGCTGCCGCTGTCCTTCTCTGTGTCCGATTCTCCGTCCTCCTCCAGAGTCAGTTCAAACTGGAACTTCTCCTGGCCAGCGGTGCGTCGGCCCTCGCTGCTGGTGTCCAGCGCTGGAGAGGGACTCTGGGGGATGGTGCTCTGGTACCACTCTCGGTTGTCCTCCAGTGTGTCCAAGATGTCCTGCGCGTCTGGGTGCACCAGGTCAGCCCACGTCTCCCACAGAGGGTGAACAATGTAATCGATGAAGCCCACCTTGGAAAAAAATATTTTCAAATGTTTTTGAAAGAAGGTTTGTATACAGTGCTGAACCATATGTATCGGTAAATTTCCTGGAAATATTTAGCAGAATACACAATATATTGAGTTCCACTGACATATAAGCAGCACAACTGTTTTCAACAATGATAACAAGAAATGTTTCTTGAGCACCAAATCAGCATATTAAAATGATTTCATGTGGATCATGTGACGCTGAAGACTGGAGTAATGATGCTGAAAATTCAGCTTTGCCAAAACAGGAATAAATTACATTTTAAAATACATTACAATAGAAAACAGTTATTTTTTAAATTGTAATATTTCAAAATATTCTATCTATTAAAATATTAATATCTAATAAATGCAGCCTTGGTGAGAATAAGAGACTTCCTTAAAAAACATTAAAAAAAAACGTCCTAAACGTTTGAACTCTAGTGTATATTCTCAAAAATGTTAACCATTTGATGCATGAATTATTAAATCAAAAGAAAAAATATAATCTGTTTATTTTTTATTCTGTATATTATTATTAATCATTAATAATTAGTTGTTGTTTTTTTCAACAATATATTTTATATAATAATATTGTGAGCCATGGGATTTATGCTGTCATAGATCAATTATAATAAATAAAAGTAACAAGTACAAAGAGGACAGCCATGCAGAATTATAGGTAAGGCTAAAAGGTCATCACATGATAGAGAACATATTTAGAGAAAATAAAAATAAATAATGAGTTAAATATAAATAAAAATATATTAGAAACATAATATAGACCTATATAAGCTTGATTATTTTATGTTTCATTATTTCATTTATCTTTATCTACCCTGAGCTGGCTTACCTGGGACTTCTCGACTGATGCGTTGTGCTTGTCACACATGGGGCTGATCTCCATGCCGCGCTCCCGCTCTCTGTCCCCCTGGCTGAAGAACTCCTCCATGATGCGGTCTGTCCACTGCCTGTACAACTGCAGCGGCTTGGTGGGGTTACTGAGGTCTGCACAGTGCACCATGTTCTGCAAGACCTGAGATACAGTCAAAATCAGTCAGTTGCGCATTCACATTTATATTTACATTCATTTACATTGGGGTTGTGACGCTGAGGAAATTTTACCACCGGTTATTCCACGTGTGACAACACCGGTAATACCGGTATCACCGGGGGGTGGGGTTTCGTCGCGGTTTTCCCTCGTTTCCCTTCGCTTTTAAATAGCTTGTAAATAGCCGTGAACATTTTACTTTCACTTTCGAATTAGTCTCAATTGCTTGAATGGACAACAACAAAATGGTACAATGACAAACTCACTTATATAAACATAGAACTTTTGTTAAATTACACAAAGTTTAATGAAAGTAAAATATTGTCAGACAGCTAGGCGCTTTTGCATTTTGTTTCAAAACTAAATCTTCCGCCATCATCTTGTCTGTCTCACCTCACTCTCCTCGTCGGTCAGCTCGACTCACTCTCCTGACGTGATTAATGAAATCGGACTCCTGCTGCTGATCTGTGATGCGACTGTCGTTCGGCACTCTGCAGCAACGTTCAGTTTTTAATTGTGGTGTCTGTTTTCTAACTGAACTAAATGATTTTTATTACTATAAAAAAATCAAAAAGACGGTGGTAGGCGGTGCAGCGGTGTGCAGTGATGTAAACGGTGTTGCAGCTTAACACTGGCAACACCGTCAACACCGACTATCGCAGCAAGCGTAATGATCACATAATGATAATTACATTGATATTATCACATTGATCATATTCAAATTCTTCAGAGCAGAGGCTGTTAACCTTTTTTAGACCAAGGGACCCGCTATTCAGACTCCTAAACCATGGAGCTCCATAAAAAGCTGTAGCACTTTATAATAAGTTTCACATTGTTATCTGCAGATATTTATTAATATATTTTAAGTAAAAAAAATTATATAAATTATTAATATATAAATTAAATGTTTAAAAATTCAAGAAATGTATATGTAATGTATAATTAAATATTTTACTATATATATATATATAGTATAATGATATTTTAAATAAAATTATTGTATGCATATATTTTATGTAAAAAATATTAATTATGGCAAATAACTAATTTCCTAAATTAATTTTCTAAGTTAATAATAAATTTACAATATCTAGAATGCAATGCAAGTATAAATATAAGGACCAACCTGTATCCTGTCAGAGTAGTTGTCTAGCAGTAATACCCCAGAACTGGTCACCTTTTTGGTCTCCACCATGGTTTTCAGATCTGCCAACAAATTCATGTGCTTAGACATGTCAGTGGCCAGAACCTGCAAAAAAAAGATGGATGATCATCAGTTTCAGCTGGAGAGAAAGAGGGAAATTTACTGGCCCTTTACACCTCTTTTCACATCTGTAAAATGAAAGTTTAGTTCCATAATACAAAAATCAGTGCAATTAAAAACAGTCCAGTGTGATAATAGCTAACTTAGAGACCAATGACACATATAACATTGTGACTCACAATGTCAATGACCATCTTGCGAAGTGACTGTCTCTGTTTCTTGGTCAGGTTCTGGAAGATGTCACAGTTCTCTTCCTGCAGCAGTTTAAAACCCACAGCCAGATGATGATTCTCCAACACAGACGAATCATTATACATGAGGGCCAGCTCAGAGTCTGAGAGGAGAGAGGTATGGGAGAGAAAAAAAGAGGAAGCACAATTAATTCTATACTGTACTAATTCGACAGCTCTTGTATTTGTAATTCTTGGTGGACTTTCAGTGAATAGCAACCTACATTTGTAATTTCAGTTTGACAGAAAGCTACAGTTTTGCTTCAGAAGAGCGCACAAGTCACATGAACCACTTTCATGGTGCTTTTTTGGAGCTTGACCTTTCAGAACTGTGTAAATATTCATCAAAATGTCTCGTTTAGAGTTCCATGGCTAAAAACAGCAGCATACAGGTATGGAACAACATGCATCCTCCTCTTGTTTTCAAGTTCCTGCTGAGCTTGTGACAAGCCCCACTGGTCCCTCCATTAGTCACTGAGGGGATTTTACCAGCTGTGTGGGTGGGACACGTGAGCTTTGCGAATCACCGACACATGTAGCCCACCAAGCACATGCATCCATAGCATGTGAAAATCGCCCGAATGACCGCTTGCTGCACGTGATAACAGCTTAAACAAGTATTGATTCCTCTTTGTGCGGGTCTGCTACTTTGAACAACCATGATTAAGCTAAAAGTGTTTCTGACAGCTGTGAAAAACATTGCACCCTTCTTATTTGAAGGAAGCAACGTGATGTTCCTTTACAGATACAACGGGAACAAGGTTTATTTTTTTGATTTACTATAGTATGTAGGGTTTTCCAAGTCCACCTGGACCTTGTATGGCAACTTTTCATTTTAAAGTATAACAGAAGGAATAGGTCACCTAAAAAATGGAAATTTGCTGAAAATGTACTCAACCTCAGGCCATCCAAGATCATTTTGGAAGGCCTGAGGGCGAGTAAATTTTCAGCAAGTTTCATTTTTGTGTGAACTATTCCTTTAATGCTACAGCAGCAAACGAAAGACAGTTTAATGGTAAAACGTCATGTTCTTATGCTAGAGCTAGAGACTTACTAGTGTTAATGAGAAACTGGTTGGAGACGCCAGGATGGTCAACATCATGTATCGCACTGGCAAATATGGCAGCGAGAATTTCAAGGTCTGTAAACACAGCCTGAAAATAACAGACACAGAAAGATTTTCAAAAATTTCACAACCTAATCCACTTTTTTAACACCCAACAATCAGAAGAAACAGCATTGCATACTGGGACAGCACTATCATACCTCAAGGGCAGGGGTTGATAACAGGACGTGAGCGGACTGTGTGACATCAGCAGCGTGGATGTTGTTGTGATAGGCAACGTCAGCATGGTAATGGTCCTCTAAAGTCATCAGATAGGTGATAAACGTGTCCAGGGGGATTTTAAACGTCTTTAACAAGTCCCTCTCCTACAGCAGAAAGACAACCCGCATGGTTTTTCCTTGTTAGCAGGAGCAACTTGTAAAGAGACATTAAAGCAAATTTGAGCTTGAGGGAACAAATGCTTTAAAAATGTACCTGGAATATTGTGTGCATCATAACCGTTAAAGGTCTGTTCCCAGAAAATTCTGACACTTTGAAGACATTAAGGCCCCATTTATTTACATCTTCAAGCTCCTGAAATGACACAAAGTCAAACACATATAGTTAGATTTCCTATATTTAAGTTTTCTGTAAATCTCTCTGTATTTACAGTCATTTCATTTTATATACCACCGTTTAAACATTTGAGGTCGGCAAGACTTTTTAAAATCTCTTATGCTCATCAAGGCTACATTTATTATATCAAAAATACAGTAAAACAGTAATATTAAAACAATTTAAAATAACTTTTTTCTAAAATTGAATTTATTCCATTGATGCCAAAGTTGTATTTTCAGCAGTCAATATACCATTCTTCAGTGCCACATGATCCTTCAGAAATCATAATAATATGCTGATTTGGTCCTCAAAAAAACAACAACATTTTTTATTATTATCAACAGTTGTACAGCTTAATATTTTTGTGCAAATAGTGAGACATTTTTTCAGGATTCTCTGATGAATAGAAAATTCAATAAAACAGCATTTATTTAAAATAGAAACATTATAAATGTTTTTACAGTCACTTTTTATATATTTAACATTCTTGCTAAAAATCATTAATACAAACCACAAAAATCGTATTGCCACTGAACATTTGAACAGCAGTGTATTTAAAAAAATTATTTAAGGCTTTATTATTTTATCAAATTAATTATTAATTATTAGTTTATATATATATATATATATATATATATATGTGTCAACCAGACTCATAAAATATTCAGTGAAGTTCATTCACATAAATCCACAGAGGGGAGTCAATGGAGAACATATGTCAGATGAACAAGAACAAAATAAACCGATGACGCCGTGCTAGATTTGTCCTGGTAAATTGTTAATGAGCGCTTGAATAAAGCAAAACGTATGCTGGGAAATGTGCCATTTTATTCTTTTACCGACTTGTAACTGGTAAAAAAAATAAAAAATAAAAAGTTTCTAAGGGCTAAACAATAACATTTTTCCATTGGTCCAGTAGTTCACACTTTTTAACTAGCCCTGCCCTATGGCAAAACTACAAGTGACACTTGTAAATTAATTGTAATAAATATAATATTAATTCTATATTAATAATAATAATAATTATCTTGTGTTGGCTATATGTTCCCTGTATGTGTTCACTCCCCATGGCTAGTCCCTGTGTGCCTTGCCCTTGTTTGTTGCCATAGTTACTCTCATTAGTTGTTATGACAGTTTATTAACCACGCCCCCTTGTTATCCTGTTAAGCTGGTCTGTGGTTAAGCTTGTTCTCTTGTGCATATATAGTGCTTGTGTTTCACTCGTGGTTTGACAGTCGTTGTATGTATTTGCCTGTTTCCCTGTTTGTTTATTAAAGTTTTCCTGCGCTTAGATCTGCTCCCCTGCCTGCTCTTTCATGCTGTTACAGGAAATAAATAATAAAATGATATTACATTTAATTTATTTATTTAATTTATAGCTGTCATGGAGCAAAGCTTGTATATTTATTTGAGTACACAAACATTTAATTTGCTCCATGACGTCTATAAACAATGCATCTCCCTATTCTTGCATATTTATCAGCAGAATTCTGTCAAATGTGCAAATTTTGTTATTTTTGCAAAAAAAAAAAAAAAAAACCTAAAAACTAAAATTTAGGTTTTTAATGCACTGTAATACAATAAAATGTAATAAAATACTACAATTTGCAAGTCATAAAAAAAAACACAGCAATCTATATGCAATATCACATAAATATGGCCAGGGCCTGAAGTATTTAGCCAGATAACACTGTTACAGACTTCCAATGGCCTACTATCCAAAACCACACAGTACCCTGAGAGCAAGTGACTAAAAAAGTACCAGTAGGCCTCGTACATTTTTAGAAACATGTCACTGAGGTATTGTACCAAAACCAGTGTCTTTACACTGAACTGGTGGCAAAAGTACATACTGCATGGCAGCAAATAAAGAGCTGAGGCAGTGGAGCTGACAGAACATGGTCAGGGATTATTTCACACTTCTGGTCCCTGTGTACTACTAGGGCGATGCTAAGTAATTTGCAGCTTTACTGGAGCAGATGAGCCGATGGTAATAGGCTGTTGCAGGTCCGTGCGGACAGAAGTGACTGTGTTTCTATTGTTGGAACATCTAGAGGGTGTTAAAACATGTCTCCCAGCAAAAAATGGAAAGATATCACACAATTTGTAGCTGTGATTCCCTGAAAATGTGTTTTCTGGGACAGTGGCCTAAATAATGATTTGTTCCTGAATCCATCCCTCTAGTCTAATAATATGCCTTGTAGATCAAAAGCAACATTCTTTACTTTATTATAAACTGTGAGCTCAAAATAACAATGTTGAGGTCAAAAAATTATTATTCTAATATAAACTGCACATATTCTATTTCAGCAGACTAAACAACAACAACAAAGCCACTGAGCTTTCTTTGATGCAGTACAATTATGCATCAAGTTGTTGACTTTTCATATATCTCCAATATCTGTAACATGCATACAAGCTTTGAAAAAGGGCATTTCTCAGATGCAAATCAAATGAGCAAATAATCAACAATACAAAAATAAATATTACTAAAAAGCAGATCAAATAGTATATTCTGTAAACTTTAACTTTTCCTAAAGTGACACTGTCCAAAAAAGTGAATATTAATAATATATAAAATAACAAAAAAAATAGCATGAAATTAAAAATAAATAAAAATGTTGACATAAAATGTTTTTTACTGCATTATTGTAGATATTTTTGAAGCATTAGTTTGACTTTGTTCTGACCTGGTTATAGCAGTATATAGTTAATATATATATACTCCCCCCACCAACAATTCCTGCCGGACCTGAGACTCGAAACCACAACCTTCAGGTTACAAGTCTGACTCTCTAACCATTAAGGCTGATTTATACTTCTGCGTCGGATCTACGCCGTAGCCTTTACGCCGTAGTCGGATTTACATTTAGTCAGATTTAAAATATAAATATAAAATAAATATAATTAATACTACTTATACTTATATATTTAATTATAAAATAATATTTTATTATAATTGTAATATAACTTTTTATTATAATTAAATGTATGTAAAATATAATACAAGTCATTATTGTTGAGAGTTCTGCTTGAAATGCTCTCTTACGGAGTAATCCCTATAGCTAATAATAAAATTTTAGTTATAAAACAGATCTAAATTGAATTCTTATGGTGAAATAGATTTTGTGTTTTTCTGTAATTGAAATGGAAGATGTATTCAAGTATTCACCCAGGCTAATATGAACATTGACTGCTAATAAATCACAAGAGCAATGGCAGCTGGACATCTCTACACAACTAAAAAAATGTTTTTCAGAAAATATTAGCTATTTCTGTTTTGAAACAATACGAAAACAGTCATATTTATAACAGTCCAGTAGGATATAACACTTGCGTGGCGACTGTGAGGCAGTTGTATACGGGATATGCCACTATTGCTATTGAGCTAAAGCAACAAAGCAAACTGACAGGCCTAGTGCGTTTCCATGGATACTGGGTATTGAGGAGGGAAAGGGAGGAGGGGGGGTTCGGTCGAGTGAGACGTATGAAAATGTGAGTATTTGACGCTTCTGTTACATATGTCTGGTCACCTCTGTCGGACCTTTAGCCTGGTTGTCTAAGAAATATTAGAAGCATCTCAAATCTTCATTTATTAAGAGGTGTTTTGGCCAAGTGGACTAGACGGGATACACACTACAGGCTGATTAGCATGCTGTATGTGTACTAGGGCCTTGCTGGAGACTGTGAGCATGCTCAGTGCAGCCTGAATGACGATTCTCCTGCTGTTATTGCAAACAGTGCACTGCTTAAAAGACACCAAAGCATGACAATATAGTGACACTCAATTATCTAAATCAGCTTATTTTTCAAAACAACTAAATAATTGAGCTGACTGCCGTTTTATTAAGTTAATCATCTCATGCTTGTGTTTAAACCAATTGACAAGGCTGACAAGGCTACAGTCACAGTATGATCAGGTCTACCAGAATTCAACAAAAAAACAAGTAACATTTGTGACAACATAAGTCTTAAAATGGTCATTTGATCTTGGAGGCACTATAACATATATTGTGCACACTTGCAAAATAACCTAAAACAGTGTACAAATAAAATAAAATTAAATAATAAAATTAAATAAAATTAAAAAAACTCCACAATATGTGCCCCAATTGTGATTGTGAGTGGAAATTGAAAACCTGAGATACAATAATTGCACTTCATCAAATTGTAGAACAGTCCCGGGGAATCCTAAACAGCAAAAAAGAACATAAGACACCTAGATCTTCTTACCTTGTTGGATGCCATCTCGCTGACTGAATGCCTTGTTTGTAGGGTCTCAAGCTGGTCGAGGCACCAGTCCAGCTCCTCCAGGGTCTCTGTGGCCAGTTTCTGGTAGGTCTCCTCTGGAGGAAGAGAAGGAGGCAAGGAGTCAGATCTCAGATACTTTAGGGGTCTAGCTGAGGCTCCCAGCAGAGGGCCCAAACTGCTGTAGACCGCCATGGTTGGATATCCCGACAGAACGCATGGGTGATTCTTCATGCTGTTCTGAAGCCCTCCACAGTGAATGATGGGGCCCCAAATCGAGCCAAAAAACAAGGTTTCCAAAAACACAGTAATCCAAATCAGGCACCGTAACGACAAGTATCAGGAGTCAGATCTTGTGAAAAGCGGGGAACACTATATTCCTTAAGAAAACACACAAAGAGGCCACACAAACCAACACTCACACCGCTCACAAACAAGACGACAGTCAGTCGTACAACACTCGACTGCAGAATCTATAGTCCTACATGTCAAGGAGCCTGGAGTGAAACCTCTCATCTCGGGACAGGGAGAATGTCATTGCTGTGGGCAGGTCCATCACTGTGTGACAGATGCCGGTCTACATCCAAGAAGCAGAGTAGCGTGCTGTGGCCCTTAGGAGCATGCGATCCGACCCATAACATAGCATACAGGCATAGTGTCATAACAATAACACACACATATACTCGCTCATACACTCATACGAGCACAAACGCAAAGCATACGGAGAGCTGACGCCAACAGATGAGTGACTTGTCCCTGTTTCCAATCCTTAAGCTGAGCTGCCTGCCGCAAAAGAGAACAAAGGTGCTCGCATCTGCCTGCCCTCTTTTCTCAGAGCAGTGGATGCCCTGCACGAGCACGGGGCAGCCGTGGAGCGTCGCTAGCTGAACGTGAGCAGAGCTTCCTCTTGAAACAGAAGCCTAAAGCCTGGCAGTGCTGCTGCATGCAGGAGAGAGAGGACTTCAGCTAAAACCTGACATGAACTTTTCAGGATTCGGAGAATGAAGAGCTCAGGTACTTCACAGCTGACACTCTGAGAAAGGCTAGAGGTGTCCAGTGTGTTTTTGTTCTTGGAGAGGATGCTTTAAGATTTGTTTATAAAGATTACAAATAATTTAGTGCTGAAATTGTGGTCAGCATTTCAACTTTGCTGAGATGGGACCATTAATGACATTCAAAATTTGTGCTGTTTTCATGATTTTAAGGAAATTTGCAAATGTCTGCTGCATGTGCATTTTCGAAAAGGTTAGGATGACCATATGAGGGCATAAAAATAAGCGAAACAAAATAACAAAAGACTTACAAAACAGACGTCAGTGCAGCTATGCTAGACATGTTGCTTACTGGAAGCAACTATAAAAACAAAGCAAGACAGAATGCATGTGCCACATGTACACTCCTTTAACAAAGCACACATTATCTTATTCATTGCCTGTCTGTGTGTGTCTCTCTCTCTTTCTGCATGTGTGGTGAAGTACACAGGGCTGGGGTGCCACTTTCTCTGGGGTGCCACTTTCTCTGAAAGAGACTGCACTGACGTCAATGACATTCTTCTCGTGCTTAACACGACATCATACACCAGCCCATGAGAGGGCACTGGCTCCAAAGACAGGAGAGCTGTGGCGAAAAGCTGGACTGGATTCCTCCAATCTGGGTCACAGACTCTTACTACCCTGTGAGCAACGAAATCCTAATCAAAACATTTGAGGATTTGTTCGGATACACTAGAAACCACCAAAAAATACCTTAAAATGAATAGCTAAAAAATAAATGTCTCTTCTAATCCTGTTTGATCACATCTTTATTCTCCTAATTGTGAGCAGAATTTGTATAAATTATATAAAATGTATAAATTTGTATAAACTTGACTGGGCTTGACTAAAATGCAACTGAATGCAAGTTTTTTAAATTTTTTTATTATTGAACAGTGTTTATAGAGTTTTCTTGTCGCTATGTGGATTCTAAATAGTTTGGAGTGGTTTTTAGTTCCAGGGAGTTTTTTTTTTTTTTGCATGTTCATATGCATTTTCTGCAGCAGCGGTTTTCAAACGGCCACAATAGGCGCTATATAAATACTTTTGAATTATTAATCATTCATTTGCATTGATAATATTTTCTGAATAATATTTTAATAATTTTTTTGGGCTTCAACACAATGACAATGTAAATGCTTATTTTTATTTATTTTTTTTACATAACATGACACTTTTCTTACACTTAAAATATATAGCTGGCTTTATATTTTAGGAAGCAGATTCGTTGCAACTAGATTGCATTTGAGTCCTTGGCATCAAAAAGTTTGAAAACCCCTTTTTCTGTGGTGTTCTGGGTTGCTACAGTAGATGGTTCCTTACTGGCCAAAGTAAAAAAAAAAAAAAAAAAACGCACTTCCCTATGGTATTCTGGTCTGTAAATATGGCCCGCATCCCTGCTTAAATGCAAGTCTATTAATCAATTGTTTTATTGTCTGCGCAAGTCTGATCACACTTCTTAACAAGCTGCATGATTTTAGGAATCACGCCATAGCAATCCCCCACTAATTAGTCATTTAGGTGGCACTTTTATCCACAGCAACATCCAAAACACATATTAGAGAGATACCCTGAACAACATGAAGTGTCTTGCTAAAGACCAGAATGGTGATAGTTTACAGATCACCCCTTTCAGGGATTTTATCCTTCTGGTGACCAAGTCATATCTTTAGCCACAGGCGTTATCATTCTATTCTACATTGTGGCAATCTGTCCAGGCAATCTACACTCAAAACCCATTAGGGTCTTATGACACTTTTAATGGTCACATGACATCTAAACTCAGCATGGGGAGTTAAATTGTATAATGTGTCCATTTGCTCACTGCCTCTAATACAAATCAATATTCTAAATCTATAACACTGGTGCTTTTTATCTCTGCAGCTGAACATTCTGCTCATGCTAAACATCCAGCAAGTGCTCTGTACTACAGTTCTAGGTCAAACACCTGCATCTCAAAACAAGCTTTTCTTTGCAAACCTTACAAATAGACCGGAAACAGAGGCTAATTGATACAATGAGCAGTGCCTAATGATTATGGCAAAGCGACTCTCACATCCCAGGATGCTCTATAAAGCATGAACAAATGATTTAAGTGAGTAAAAAGTATCTTTAAACATTTAATTTGTGCATAGAGGTTATTACGACGTATTATAAAATGTTTCTTATCAGCTTCAGAGTACATGACATGCACACTGCGATATGCGAACTGAAGGTTGCCCTCATGCTGGTATAGACAAAACTGAAGGTGCCACACAAAGATAACATGATCCGTCATATCAGACAGTGCCTAACAGTTCTCCACAAATGAAAAAACCCTTATCCTAACACAAAACAAACCGAAAAGCTCAGGAAAAATGCTCTTTACAGTATATCATATAACTGATAAAATGTAATCTCGATAAAAATCTGTTGCACAAAAACATTCAAATTTGCTTTTGATAATTGAAATAAAATAAAATAAAATATTACATGAAAAACTTGAACATGAAAAATTTAAATGAAAATAGAAGTGGTGCCTTGGCAACTAACTGTTTTATTTAAAGTATTAAAATGACTAAAACTAAAACTGGAATAAAAATAAATTAAACCTATATAGAAATATATATAAAAAAATTCATCTAAAACCATTAAAAATGACAAAAGCACATATAAAAAAAAAACGAAAACTGAAAATATAAAAATAAAAGTTAATTCAAAATGTTAACAAATACTATATTAATATACATTATAAATAATACTAAAATAACACTGATGTTAAATTGGCATGGCAATATTTAAAATATAGAAAGTAAAGATACGACACCTGTGTAGGAGGTCTAAAAATAAATTAAACCTATATAGAAATATATATAAAAAAAATTCATCTAAAACCATTAAAAATGACAAAAGCACATATAAAAAAAAAAACGAAAACTGAAAATATAAAAATAAAAGTTAATTCAAAATGTTAACAAATACTATATTAATATACATTATAAATAATACTAAAATAACACTGATGTTAAATTGGCATGGCAATATTTAAAATATAGAAAGTAAAGATACGACACCTGTGTAGGAGGTCTTTGTGATGGGAGGCGGGTTACACATGGGGGATCTCCTGGTTGAAAAAATTTAAAAGAAACAAAGAATGTGGTTAATGTGTATGATGAAAACAACAGTAACACAGATTGATTGTCGTTAGAAAACTTAAACCATACAAATTCTGCCAAGATTAAGTGTCATGATAAAAATTAGTGGATTTGAATATTTTAAACTGAAAGCACTTACTTGTTATTGGGCCTTTCCTGTTGTACATTTGTTAAAGCAGCAAAATTATTCCGGACAGTCCTTAAACTCGCCAGAACCTGGGAAAAGACACAAAAAATTAGTTTTATAAAATGTGTGTTATATTTTTTTGTAATGTTGTCAAACCATCTGCTTTTAAACTTATTTTAAATATTTAATATTGCAATACCTGTGCAAAAGGGGTAACAATCATGTCATCACCGTGTCTGCAAAAAAAGGAAAAAATACTAATAACAACCGCACAAACTTTCTCTTATTTTCACATAGGGCTGGGCGATATGGCCACAAAAATTATCACGATAATTTTTTTCATGTCAGTCGATATTGATAATTATCACGATAAATGTCAAATTTTATTTCTTTCAAGTTTAAAGCCAGATTTTTGCTCCAAAGTGAAAGTTGTAGAAACCAGACCATTGATTTTCCTTAACAAAATAAATATCTAAATAGAAAAATGTATTTCTTAGTTTCTGCATGTTCTAATGAGTGATATTGTTTCAAAGAAATGCACATTTGATAGTAGCTTGAGTTAGGATGCAGAGGTACATTTTTGTTCACTATCAAAATCAGTAACATCTGTAAAAATTGTAGCAACCTCAGTTTTATATGGTTAAATTTATTCTGACCAAGTTTTTATTTATTTATTTATTTTTTAAATTAAGCATTGGTCTCCCTTAGTAGTATACATTTAAATAATGATAAACACAGTTAAAACCACACATATAGCATTTCAATACCATGGTAAAAATATAACTATATGGTTTTTAGGTAGCCTATTTGTATGAAAAACAGTAGTCTAAAAACATTCAGTATAAATGCACACATGCTATAACTTAATCACAAATACATGCTACCAAATACATAGTATATACCATTATTCTTTTAATAAAATTTAGTGTGAATATCCCAAATTTCTGCCACAATACCATGGTGCAGTGAGTGTTACTACAGTAAATCCATGGTAAATGATGGTGATTTGTAGATTGAAAAGCCTTCTGACTGTCTCGTTCGTTGCACACAGTGTTTCTCCTGTTTGGCTTTAAACTAGTTGAATTCAGCGATGAACACAAATGACTCGGTGATTTAAAGCACTGAATCTCACAGCACTGCTTAATGCTCGCGTGACCGAGTAAACACATCTGCTCTAGTGAGCTCGCGCCGGCGGCAGTTTGAACTTTGATCCGAGCGGATAAACGGTCCGTGTGGTGCGATTCAAATGAGTCGCACTGTTTCGTTCCGCTTTTGGCGCATAAACATTATATCAAACATTTATCGAACTCTTCATATCGTTTCATCGAGGAAAATTATATCGCGATAATTATCGTTATCGAATTATCGGCCAGCCCTATTTTCACATATTATGTACAGTTTATAAAAATGTTTTGACAACTGCAGTTTAATCTACTTGTAAGCTATGCCTTTGTCTCCCATTTATGAATAAAACATGCACATTAATAAAAAACTTCTAAATGCCACTAAACCGGTTCTGCACTTAAAAGAGACATTTGCTCACATGTCACTGGCGATGGAGGAGTTTCTGGACATAGACTTTGGTGAGAGGTCATAGTCGCTGTCAGAGCGGTACAGGAATGACTCTCTCCTCTGGCTGTGCACCAAGTTGGCCTGGAGGATGAGACCTGACCCCGGGCTGGCCATGGGATCCAGCGGACTACGTCCTGATGAGGTGCCATTGTCCACATCAAAGCTGGGGAGACAAAACAAGTGGGCAGTTAGTGTTGATGTTAAATGAGAAAATTGGAGGAAGTAAAGTAGCATATTTCTCCGGTTGACAGAGTTGACAATTTCCGGTAATATGGGCGTTTTGTTGACCAATTTTACCTAAGCAACGGTTGTGCGATTTGCCATTTTTTCAGACAAAAATTAGCTATTTTCTTCTATGAGCATATAAAGGATATGTGCATTAGGATAGTTTTAAACAATTTTAAGGAAATTATGAAATAATTCTCAATAAACTGTCAATAAAACTGTTAGGACTCATTTCCAAATAAACATGTAATTAAATAATATAGACATAAAACAAAAATTAACCTTAAAAAATAAAAATAAAACAAAAACCAACAAACACAAAACAAAAAATCAACACACAAAAACAAAATAGCAAACATTGATCAAATAAACATAAAATAAAAAAATTGAAAAATAAAAATAAAACAAAGCAAAAAATAAAGTAAAACTTACATTTGCTCCAAGGTAATGTGACGATTTATTTAAATACATATTGATTTAGGTTGCTGTAATATTGTAGTGCAGCAACAGCAAAATAATAAATCACAAATTAATGCATTAAAAATTATAACCACAATACAAAAAACAATTCTTCCAGCAAATTCCTGATTTAGAGGGCATCCCCAGCCCAGCGGGAGCGCCGTCCTTAACCTTCATCTCCCTAGTCCTTAGATCCACCCAACTGTGCTTACAACATGCTGACCCATAATCCCCGGAGAGCATTAATATAATTGCTCTGCCCTGGGTATTTTCCTGACGCGAACGGTGACGTGTTATTCTCGCTTAGCCACCATCATCACCTCCATGCAGGCTCACATCTGAGATGAGTAACGTGGTGTGGATGGATAAACCCGTATTAGTGGGTCAGCCTGCACCTTGGTGACTTCAGCAGACCGTACTGTCTGACACATACAGGGCCAATGATTCATGACCCACGTAAAACAGGGGATTGAGTTTTGTTTCGACTGAGAACAAATATGTCAGCAACAACAAAACTTACGCATACGACCTTTCTATTGTCTGTGTTCAGTGCAATCAAAGCACTACAGTGCGAAGAGAAAACAACATTTGGAGTTTGTGTCCTGTACTTTTTCAAGCCAACACTTTATTTTTGTGTTTCATTGAGAACTGACTTATTCACAGTTCATACTAGTGCTGGCGTTGAGTGGCCCGCTGATGTGCTGCCCTCATCTCTCTTGGGTCATATCACAGGAATGCACCGGCTTACCGTCTCACACTCTCAACTCTAGACATGCATTATGAATGAGATGGTTCTCCTTTTACTGTAACCCACACAAAAGCATTGATGCTTATCCTACAAAGAGAAATATGGGCTCCTATAATAACCATAAATAAGTCAACACACATTTTTTTCACTTGAAAATGAAAACGCCTTCATGATTCTAGAGAGATGGGACAAAACATGTCCAGTGATTTTCACAGCAACATTTTCACTTTTTGAAATTAATCACAGATCACTAGAACCTTTATAAATTAAAATAAATAAATGTAAATTTAATTAAAATTTATATTTACATAATCTTTTTTTATTTTATTTCATTGATATTATCACTCACTCGGCCTAAAACTCAGACCACAAAATATTTTACATATTAAAATATGTATATAACATAAAACCTAACAAAAATAATAATACATAAATAATATTTATATTGTAATTCTAATATTTTTGCACCAAAGGATAAATCCATATCTCTGAACATGTGAAAAAAATTAATCCAAAATAATTTCTTTTTACATAAATTTTATTTATTTTTCACTTCTGTAGCTGTTCTGTCCCATGTCTCAAAAAACATGTACACTACTGTTTAAAAGTTTTTTTTTTTACATTTTTGAAAATATTCTCTTACCCTCAGGGTTGTAAAAACAGTAATATTGTGAAATATACTAACATTCAAATTAAATGTTTTACATTTTAATATATTTTAAAATGTTATTTTTGTCTTTCGGTTTCGTCTTCCGTGTCACACTTCAGAAATCATTCTAATGTGCTGATTTGCTGCTCAAGAAACATTTCTTATTATCAATATTGAAAAAAGTTGTGCCGCTTAATATTTTTGTTATTATTTCTTTGATGAATAGAAAGTTCAAAAGAACAGCATTTATTTGAAATAGAAATCTTTTGTAATGTTATAAATGTCTTTACTGTCACTTTTGATGACTTTAATGTCCTTACTGAATAAATTAACAATTTTCTTAAAAAAAAACAACAATCGAACCGACCACAAACTTTTGACCAGTGCTATATGTTCAGTTATTTTTCTTTTATATCTATATCTGATTTATTTTTTGAATATTGTTGTCTGATGGCAGAATCTGACATTAAACTTTTTTAAATCCTGATTCCTCATAATAAGACCCCTTCAGGATAAGACCAGCCCATCAACAAACAGCAGTGTTGTGAGCAGTTTGCTTTGTCTAATGTGTCTTCAGTTACAGAGAGGAAAATACACCACTCCTATCCTCTCTCCTTCCTCCTCGTCTTCACTTTGCTAGTGCTCTAATTTCACTCCCCTGATTTCCCTCTATCAAATAAGCAGTATGTGAAGGTCTCCATAGGTTCCCTGTACAAAGATCACTGCCTGCTTAAACTACACTTAACATCCAAACACACACAAGTGCACACACACCGACACATCTTATAGGTTCAAAAACACAGCGCTGTGTGTACTTTTGAGTAATTACCTTGGAAGTGTTTTTGGTCCTGATATACAAACACGTCATAATTAATTCACACATTACACAAACACAGAAAACCGTGGAACAGTGAAAAGCAAAGATACTGGTTATATAAAGTAACACAACACATTTCAAGCAGCTTTAAATCAGTGTCAGATAAAAACCTCCTCTACCTCATTAATCTTATGAGAAATATTTCTGTTGCACTTATAATTGACAAATTGTTTCAAAAAACACAGTTCAGTATACCTAAGAGGTTAGTAGGAGTCTGAGTTTAATCACTAATTTCCTTTTTGCTGGAATTGGACAGAAACTCTAAGCTCTTTGGACGTCAAACAGCGCTCTGTGATGTAACACACATGATACATTAAACAGTCATTTCTAGATAATCATAATCACTTCCAGTTATATTAAAGCATAATGGAGTGGGCTGGGTGGAATCTCTCCAGACACCACAGATATTATCAAAGCATGTAAGTGGAAATTACTTCTAACTTACTTGTCTGAACTTCTAGAGAATTTGCTGTACACCATTTAACTTTTATCATAAAACATCTACAGAGGACCTAAAAAGTATTTGAAAGGAGCATGTCCATAGTTCATGTGCTGAACTACATCTGTGGTTACACTTCTCTGCACCTGTGTGAAGTGACTTCATATATCACCCCAAAGTAGCCAAGTTTGTTAAAAATAAATAGTAAAAATAGCACAGAAAAGTTAGAAGTTAAAGCTAGTTCTGAGAAAATCTCTAATGGCGCTTTTCCACTGCATGGTACGGCACGGTACGGCTCAGTACGGTTCACTTTTGGGAATTAGTTTGCAGATGGGACTAGGCTTGACTTTTTGGGGTCACTGTTTTATAGTTAAAGGGGTGTATGGATTTTGGTTGCTTACAACAAGAGTTCTCTTTCTTTCTAGACACTGAAGTTGTAAAGAGGATCAAAAGCAGAATGATTTAGAACAACATTTTTTAACGTCAACTTAAAGTCAAGATATATAAAAACCAAAGTGGTTCACTATAAAATCACCTAAAACAAGGGGCTCCAAACTCCAGTGTCCTGCAGAGTTTAGCTCATACTTGCCTCAACACACCTGCCTGGAAGTTTCTAGTATGCCTAGTAAGGCCTTAATTAGCTGGTTCAGGTGTATTTAATTAGGGTTGGAGCTAAACTCTGCAGGACACCGGCCCTCCAGGACTGAGTTTGGAGACCCCTTACCTAAAACAATCACAATATGGGGTGTTATTCTTCCACGAACTACAAGAACGACTATGGACAACATGCCAATCCATTTAATGGTACTTTAGCGGAAGGATTACATATGAGCGTCCAATAAAAATCCAAGGGATAATTACAGTAGCTGCAATCACTTCTACGCTATCTATGGCATCAGATGTCCAACTGGCTAGCTCTGTTGTTGTGGATACCCTGTGTAGTTTAAGCCACTTTAATTGAGACTGGCTGTTCCCCAACTAACTGTTTTTGGTACTAAACCAATCTTTTCCGATTATAATGGCAGTCAACACTAACAATGCTCAGAGTTCACGGAGTTCTCAAAGGAACTTAAATTATACTTTGAGCACTAATATTTATTAAAAAAAAAGAAAATGACAACAGAAATGACTTGCTCACAAATGTCTTGTGAAATGTAAACCAGATGCAAAACATTTCTGTTAACTGAAATAAAAATAAACTTAACTGGGAAAAACAGAAACTAAACCTAAGTACATATTTGTGATTCCAAAACTGAAAAAATAAAAATAAATTATCCCTAATGTTAAAAGTTGATGGATAATGAACTGGTAAGTGACTGCCTGCCCTCCTAGCATGTGATCCATTAGAGCATAAGAGAGGAACAAAAAAGCACAGGAAATATGTAGTCTGATCCTGAGACATTCAAAAAGTGGAACCCTATGGTTTGAGACCACATGCAAAGAGAATGTAAAAGACAGTATGTTTTCTTCTGGTGATCACATGAGGTTGTTCCCAAAACACTGCCGGTATTTTTGTCAATCATGAGACAGAACAGGAATATGCTCAAAATAGACAAATAAAAGAGATGTGCAGATAAAAATAGCAGGCAGGAATAATTCATGAATCAAATCAAGCTCTGTCAAAAGCATAAAAATAACTGTTGCTAAAATGACCATGCTCTGAAATAAGCAAAGAAAATATGGGAAAGACAATCAGTTAGTCAAAGCAGCAAAGTTTTGGGAGTGACTTATTAATTGTTTAGTTGAGTTCTGAAATTAAAATTCTC